CTTTTCTAGTACACAGAACATTCTGTACCCTAAGTAGGATTTTGATCCCTTGTTAGTTTCTTTCTTCCCTCAGCAAAACTCCCACCTTCCCCAAGCTGACTTCAGACAAGACCCAGCACTTCAGCAAAGATGGGTAAGACACCAGAAATAACTTAGGGCAACATTCTTGTCAGATGGAGGGACTTTTTTATCTCCTCCATGAATTTATTTCTGCTTGCTCAGCCCTCGGATTAAGTCCTGGACTTAGCCTCCTGTGTTTATCAGCCCATTGCAAACAACTGCACTGACTCCTCCACCTCTTATCGCTGACGTGGTCCAGCTGGCCTTTCCTGCCCTAGGCCCATATCCATCACCAAGATCTTAGGAATTAACCCCTGGGTGTAGTTCTTTGTGAACAGGCTCCAGCCTCCTCCCCAATACGTACCTTACCTTGTACCCCTGGCATTAGCCAACCCTGTCTTTTTTCCAGGAAAGGACCCTGAATATCACGCAAGCTCTTCCCTCCGGTGTCCTCATAAGAGCACACCTGCATCTAATTTGCTGCATATCTTAGCAGCCTTTTCTTTCTTTCTTTTTTTTCTTTCTTCAACTTTTAAGTTCCGGGGTTCATGTGCAGGTTGTGCGGGTTTGTTACGTAGGTAAATGTGTGCTGTGGTGGTTTGCTGCACTGATCATCCCATCACATGGGTATTTTTCTTTTTTTGAGATGGAGTCTCACTCTGTCACCCAGGCTGGAGGGCAGTGGCACAATCTTGGCTCACTGTAGCCTCTGCCCCCTGGGTTCAAGAGATTCACCTCTCTCAGCCTTCCAAGTAGCTGGAGTTACAGGCACCTGCCACCACACCTGGTTAATTTTGGTATTTTTAGTAGAGATGGAATTTCACCATGTTGGCCAGGCTGGTCTCGAACTCTTGTCCTCAAGTGATCTGCCCGCCTTGCCTCCCAAAGTGCTGGGATTACAGGCATGAGCCGCCGCGACCGGCCACCTGGGTATTAAGCCCAGCATCCATTAACTATTCTTCCTGATGCTCTCCCTCCCCTCACACCCCCTCCCACATTGTGTGTGTTGTTTCCTCCCACGTGTCCATGTGTTCTCATCATTCAGCTCCCTTTTCTGATCTGAAGGTTTACCTGTCTGCAGGTACAACCTATTGACCTCCAGGGCTCTGTCTCAAGGGCTCACTCGGCACCTTTGACAACCAGCTCACGAGCTTCCTCTCCATCCCTTACCAACTTTAACAACTCCAGCGTCCCGCTCATACTCACTCTCACAATATTCAGCTCACTTCCCTTTATCTCATCTCCACTTTGGTCAACCACCCATGGGTATGATCCATGCATTCGTTCTTCATTCATTCATTCATTCTGCAAACATTTATTGGGTATCTACTCTGCGCTAAGCCCTATGCAGCATCCTAGGGTAAGAGATGAGTCAGATATGGTCACCCTCAGAGCTGACATGCAGTCATTCAGCCATTTCAGTAGTTAAGATATTGAAATAACCCTGTGCCTACTGGTCTATAGCCCCTGCCCTGAGCATACTCCAGCTGCCCCGGGGCCCTCCCCTGTTCTCCCTCCCATCCAGCAACTAAAAGGTGCATCTCAACTCCCACCTTGGTGGACCTCATAGGCAAATGGCGGACACCTTAAGAGTTTGGTGCGCTCAGGATGGTTATTTCCCCCAGAATGTCAAGCTGTGAAGTACACACGGAGTGACCACAAACTTCATTCTTCTGTATCTCCCCATCTCCCACATCGACTGCATGTTTTTTGTTGTTTTTGAAACAGTGTCTCACTCTGTTGTCCAGGCCGGAGTTTAGTGGCGCCATCTCAGCTCACTGCAGCCTCAACCTCCTGGGTTCAGGCCATCCTCCTGCCTCAGCCCCCAAGTAGCTGGGACTACAGGTGCGTGCCACCACCCCTGGCTAATTTCTGCATGTTTAGTAAAGATGGGGTTTCACCATGTTGCCTAGGCTGGTCTTAAACTCCTGACCTCAAGTGATCCGCCTTGCCTTGGCCTCCCAAAGTGCAGGGATTACAGGTGTGAGTCACCATGCCCGGCCCACTGCATGCTTTTTTTGTTGTTGTTGTTGTTGTTTTTGAGACGGAGCCTTGCTCTGTCACCCAGGCTGGAGTGCAGTGGTGCGATCTCAGCTCACTGCAACATCTGCCTCCCGGATTCAAGTGATTATCCCCACTCAGCCTCCTGAGTAGCTGGGATACAGGCAGCCACCACCATGCCCGGCTAATTTTTTTTCATAGAGATGGGATTTCACCACGTTGGCCAAGTTGTTCTCAAACTCTTGGCCTTAAGTGATCTACCTGCCTCGGCCTCCCAAAGTGCTGGGATTATAGGTGTGAGCCACCGCGCCCGGGCTGAGCCACCGCACCCAGCCTGCACGCTCTTTTTGTCCTCATGCTACCAGCATTTCACTTCTTCTCAAGTCTTGCAGTTCACTTCCGTCTCCCCATCCACCTGGGAGCTCACGGTCATCCTTCTTGAACCCCTCCCTCGTGCCTTGTCCTGCCCTCTTTGCTTGGCCAGCCCCATTGCTGGGGAACATGTCACCTGCAATTTCCATGTTTGCTTTCTGACCTGGTGCCCGGGGCCCTGCCAGGTCAGATCACAAGGGCAGGGGTCCTGAGAGTTTTGCACCCTAGGCTACCAGCTTCAGCTACACCTTTCTTGTTGCATGCCAAAAATGTCCTCACGTTTTGTTGATTCATCATTGCTACTTTTCTGCAGTTATTCTCTTCCTTGCATCATCAATCTCTCCCCTCTGACACATCAATTCTTTTTTTTTTTTTTCTTGAGACAGAGTTTCACTCATGTTACCCAGGCTGGAGTGCAATGGCGCGATCTCGGCTCACCGCAACCTCCGCCTCCTGGGCTCAGGCAATTCTCCTGCCTCAGCCTCCCGAGTAGCTGGGATTACAGGCACGCACCACCACGCCCAGCTAATTTTTTGTATTTTTAGTAGAGACGGGGTTTCACCATGTTGACCAGTATGGTCTCAATCTCTTGACCTCGTGATCCACCCGCCTCGGCCTCCCAAAGTGCTGGGATTACAGGCTTGAGCCACCGCGCCCGGCCCTCCTCTGACACATCAATACACTCAAGTCTCTATTACTCGACCTCACCCTGTAACAAAGACTATTATTGCTCAATGAATATTCATATTTTCCCCCAAATTTCCCAGCACCCTTGCAGTTAGGTGGAGCCATGTGACTATTTGGCTTTGGCTAATGGGCTTTGAGTGGAAATAAACAACGTCCAGTCTGGGTGGAAGCATTTAAAAGCCAGAACATGACCTTCCAGCTATCTCTTCCCTTCTTCAATGAGCTGGCCAAGGTGGTGGCCTTCTCAGACAGGAGTAATTTTGATCATTGAGTCCTGATGTGGAAAAGAGGAACCCTGAAGAGCTGCCTGACTGTTGCAGGAATATTTGTAAAACAGAAACAGATCTTTGTCATGTATGCCTCTAACACAGAGGGCAATTTGTTACGGCAGCATAGCCTAGCATTACCCTAATACAGGCCCTACGATAACAACAGTCAAAGCACCTTTCCTTGAGTCTGCTATTCCCCTGGGTTTCCACTCTATTTTCCTCCATCTCTCCATTGCTGGCTTCTTCAAGTATGAAGTCTCTAAGTAGGGCTGCTGTTTTCCCTTCCTGTCCACAAATTCATTCCTCAATCCCTGGCCCCTGACCTGCCGCTTTACCAAATTCTTTGCTGCAAGCTCCCAGTGATGCCACAACCCCAAATTCAACAGCACCTTCAGCGGCTCTAGCCCCTTTGCAAACAACTACTATGTGGTGGATTCTGAGCTCCTTTGACCCCCTTCTCTGGTGCCTCCTCAGTGATCTGAGTTTTCCTCCTGTCCCTCCAATGCTCTTTTCAAGGCTGCCTCACCACTGACCCTTCTTCATTCTGCCTCCTAAATATAGCCCTTCCAAAGGTCTAGCCCTGTTCTTTTTTTGTTCTTTCTCTCTTGATCTCACCCAAGCCATGATTTCCATGTCCCTGACCATGAGCATGACTCCCAAATCTATTTACGGTCACTGCTCTCAAAGAGCTGCAGGCTAACGGGAGCACCTTGAGCTCTTCCCAGCCTCCAGGACCACAGTTCTGACCACCTGGGCGTTCTCACATTTAAAGTACCAGACCCAAATCAATTTCCTTTATCTTTCCCTTCAGGATTAAGCCTGTTACTCTGCCCTTCATATTACATGACTGCTACTTCTTCTCCTCTTCCTCCTTCTTCCTTTTTTTTTTTTTTTTTTTAGATAGAGTCTTACTCTGTCACCCAGGCTGGAGTGCAGTGGCATAGTCACAGCACTGCACCCTTGACCTCCCAGCTCAAGCGATCCTCCCACCTCAGCCTCTGGAGTAGCTGGAGCCACAGGTGTATACCACCACAACCAGCTAATTTTTTTTTTTTTTTTTCTTTTTTGTAGAGAGAGAGTTTCACCATGTTTCTCTGGCTGGTCTCAAACTCGTTGGCTCAGGTGACCCCCCTGCCTCAGCCTCCCAAAGTGTTGGGATTATAGGCATAAGCCACCAAGCCTGGCCCAGTGTTATTTTCCTATGCACACTTCCCTCACACTCCAGGAAAACTGGCTTGTCTCTTGTTCTCCAAACATGCCCAGGGCAGTCCTTATTCTTTTACTGCTGCTGCCTAGAAAGCCTTCTTCCCACCCCAGCTCTCATTTCTGCCTTTCTGCTGAATCCCACCAATCTCTGGAACCGATTTTGTACAACGTGTTCCCTATGAAGACTTTCCGAATCCCCTCGACCTTATGTGTTTGCTCCCTCTTTTGCAAGCGTAGACTGTTTTATTTGTAACTGTTATGAGTTAGAATAAAAACACTTGCCCTTTCTTGCCACTGTCTTTCACGTATCAGACATTCTGCTCTCTGGCCTCCCAGCCAGGTGGTTCTTCTCGGAGTATTTATAGAAACTGTATTTGCGATGGCTCCCTTTTAGGAAGTGGGTGCTTTTTTTTTTTTGTATTTTTGCTTTTTGTCATGGGATGAAACCTCACTTCAAGTGGGGAATTACCAGCGAAGCCGGTGGCTGGGCTTTCCTGGGCCGCACTTCTCTGAACATTCTGGGAGTTGGCAGCGTCTTTTCCCTGACATCCTGAGCTCTCTACATGCTATGAACCAAACCTGGCTGCTTTGCATGTGCCTGGTCAGGTGGTTCTTCTGGAACATTCCAGCTGATTTCATCCCTGTGAACCCTCCTTCTTCTCACCACTCTAGACAGTCCAGGCAGGGGTCTAAAAGGGAATTCAGTCCACACTGGGACTCTCCATGTGTTAAGGAGGCCCACAGCTTTCTGCCTGGGTAAGCAGAGCCCAGAGAGCCCGTTGGGTGAAAAATAGGTGGTACTGTACTTACTTCAAAGCCATAGCAAGTCTGTGCAGGCACTGAGGGAGGATGCTAAATCTGGAGGCTGAAATGCTGAGGGGAAAACTGGGCTAACTGGGCTAACTGGGCAGTGGATCCCAGGGAACAGACAGGAGGAGCCTCTGCTGGGGCTGCCGCTGGAGCTGAGGCTGGCCCTGGGCCCTGATGGTTCCCTCATCTGCTGGCACAGAGGAAGGGAAGGCTTCATGGATAGTACTTCCTACCACACGAACTCCTCAGTGGGAGGTACTTTGTCATCGAAAGGCAGAGAAAGAGATGCAGCATGACACTATATCTCTTACCCTAATAGGCCAAACAGTGACCTAGAGAAATTCGAAATCCCTGGATCCAAAGGCTCACACCACAGGGGAGTAGGAAGTGGTGGGCTGGGAAGGGCAGTGGGTTGGGGGTGAGCAAGGAATGTGTACCCCTTCCCCTTAACCTCCACCTCCGGATGTAGTCACAAGTGTTGTCACCTACTCCCGGGCCAAACCAGTCACTGTTGGGTCAGCTGGCTGGTGACACCTGTTCTGATCCAATTTTTTCATTTGATAGACTGGAGGCCTCCCAGAGAGGTGAAGGGGCATATCTGGGGTCATACAGCCAGTTTCGGGGAGACACTGAAACTCAAATCCCAGTCTCCTGGTGGCCTTGCCATGGCTGCTTCCACTCAACCTGTTACCTCTCTGTGTGAGGCAAGATGGGAAATGCTGGGAGACTTTGAGAAAGGCTGACAAAAATGGTTCCCCACGAGTCTGCAAATGCGTGGAAGAGAATCAAAGGGAAAATAAATGGCCCCTATGAATATTTATGTCGAAACCTGGCTCTATGACCCGCAGAACCAGTAGAGGCTCTGAGAAAAGTTCAATCCGGGGTTGGAAAAACAGTAGTTAATTTTTATCAAAACACTCAGCAGAGTTGAAAAACAGTGTGTTCCAGAACAAATAAGTTCTGTTGACTGAGTGACCGTAGTTTTTATTCATTCCATTGTGTATGGCCTCACTGGTAAAGCTTCTTTTTTGTTATTACAAAGCTATTATTATTATTAAAAATATACTATTTCTAACATCGTGAAATTTTTGTTTTTGTTTTTTTTTACAACACCCAAAGTCAAAATATTCTTTTTTTTTTTTTTTTTTTTTGGACCAAGGACTCCTTGAGGTTTGAAGAATCAGAAAATTGTTTTCCATGTGGCTCTAGAAAGGCCAATATTCCCTGATGGAGGCTTCCCCTTATCTGGAGTTGGGGATTATCCCAGGGTCTAGCGCAATGCTTTGGAGGCAGGCCCATTCTCCAGGTCCCTTGGGAGCAGGGGAGCTGTTCCTAGTGAGCACAGCCAGTTCCCAGTCCCTCACAGCAAGCCCTGAGGCAGTCAAAGGACAGTGGGAAGTCCAAGCCTTCTGGACTTTGCAGTGGGGTGAACTGAGAAATGCTAACGTCCTTTGGGTCCTAACTCCAAAAAGGAGACTTCAGCTGTCCTTTGAAATTCTAGAAGTCTTTAGTCTCCTTCTGAAGTCTAAAGTGTAGGCGCATGCAGTGGATATAGCTCTTGCAGGAGGCTGACGAAACCTAAAGATGTCTGTTCCTTCAGCCACCCCAGCGCCACACAGGAAGTAGGCACAGGCAGTGGTGCCACCAAATGACTCACCTTTACGCTGCTCGATTATGTTTAGAGCTGCAAGTACCCTCTCACTGGGCCTCACCCACTGGCATTTGATGGCAGTGCTCTTGCACCCTAGCTTTGGGGGATCAAACCCTGGGGATGTTCAAGGTGTAGTGGCCTGAATGCCTTCCCCCAGCCAGGTGTAGTCCACTCTCCATCTCCCTTGTCCCAGCTTCTGTCCCACCTCCAACCCGACTCTTAACAGCCCCTCCCTGCCAGTGCCCTCTGCCACCTGCTCTTTCCATCTCTTGCAGGTGGCTCCTCCTCCCCTCTCCTTTCACCCAACCTGGGGCTGGGCTTGGACCTGCTCCTGCCTTTCTGATCCTTACCAACCTCGCCACGTCTACACCCCTCTCCACGTCCCCATTCCTGATATCCTTGTCCTCCGTGGTTAACCATGCCTGAAATCTTACCCCTTGCCACTAGACTTCTTCAACCTTTCTCCTTCTTTAAAACTCTTTTTTGACTCTCCTGTCATCAGTATCCCTCTTCACGTGTTGTGTCAATTTGCTTTTCTTCCCCGTGAGATGAGCTGGGAAAATAGCAGTGACACCCAGCTGTGGCTGAGTGAGCCTTTCCTCAGCTCAGCTGGACTCCCTGTGTGTGAACAAATGCAGGGCATGACAGAAGGGCAGCCGTGGTTTTCAAATGTCCCCACCCAAGAGTGGATCCCAAAGTCATTTTAGTGGATTGCAGCCAACAGTGAAAAATAAATTGAACAGAACATACTGCAGGGCATCCCCCATGGGGAGGGTAAGTATTGTTTTGTGACATTTTTGTCTTTGTTGTTTCCATGTGTATGCGTCGCAAGTCTCAGTGTGAAATATATTCCTTACTATGGGTTGCAACCAAAAAGTTTGCAAAGTCCCTGGTCTAAAGAACCAGTGAAGACATCAAAGACCCATTATTGAAAGTGATGGGAGTGAGAAGTAGTTCAAGAAATTTGCTTGGGCTGGGTGTGGTGGCTTGCACTTTGGGAGGCCAAGGCGGGTGGATCATCTGAGGTTAGGAGTTTGAGACCAGCCTGGCCAATATGGTGAAACCCCATCTCCACTAAAAATACAAAAATTAGCCGGGCATGGTGGCGGACACCTGTAATCCCAGCTACTCAGGGAGGCTGAGGCAGAAGAAACACTTGAACCCGGGAGACAGAGGTTGCAGTGAGCCAAGAATGTGCCGTTGCATTCCAGCCTGGGCAACAAGAGAAAAAAACTTGGTCTCAAAAAAAAAAAAAGAAAAAGAAAAGACAAAAGAAAAGAAATTCGCCTCACTGTGGAGGCTCAGAGAGAGCCTTGCATTCCTCCTTGGAGCACCTGTAGGTCCCACAGGTGAGGCTCCCATTGTCCTATTGGAGGAAGGAGGCATGGCTTAGGAACTTTCACCCAGGAAGGTCTGCAGAAACTGTCAAGATTCACACCCAGCATTGGGACTCCTGTTTGCATACAAATCAAAGACTGAACTCTTAATTAATGGTCATCAAGATCAAAAGAAACCCTTTAAAAGGAATAGGATCCTTTAGAGAGTTTTCCTTGCAGCTCCATCTGCTGTTTCTCCAGCCCATAAAAACAAAACCCAGAGAATGTGTCCGGTGGAAGCAGAGTCCAGCCAGATTTGGAAATCTACCATCTTTTTTGGTGAGATCATCAGATGCTACCACTTAAAGTGCAACAGAACATGAGTCTCATCCCTGTGGACTGCAGCCAGTCGAGTTCCAACTCGTCCCACGCACCCCCAGTGGCGGACAGGGATGGCCAAGCCCGGAGTTACTGGCAGTAAAAGGTGAGCACGTTTTCCTGGTTTCCTCGGATCAGGATGACTGGAGGTCTGAGGTCCTGGGAGAGGGTGTCCAGCCAGGCCATGTACAGCGAGCTTGGGCACTTCCCCTTCCTCCCTATGGGCAGAGTGCTGCAAGGCAGGAAAAAGTGGCACCAGAGAGATTAGCATGGGGCCTCTCCAACGCCCAGCTCCTGGCTTGTTTTCAGAACAGCGAGTCTGTTTACTGTCCCTCAGAGCTCCTTCCACCCACCCTAGGAGTGACCTCCCTGCTTTCCGCACAAACATGACCCACAATGGACCTTCCTCCGTGAAGCGTTCCAAATGAAGCTGTGGCCAACGGGCCCCGTGGGATGCAGTCCTTGCCAAGCCCACGAACTCACCCTCGCCTTGTTCACCCCCGATGCCCTGTAGCTTTCTTTCCATTCCCAAAAAAACGCCATGCTCACTCCTGCCTCCAAACTTTACACTTGACACTCTTCCCACCAGGAAGGGAGCAGCCCAGCCCTGGACCTGGTGGCTTCCTTTGAGTCAGGCGAGTGCCCCCACCTCCTTTCCCAGTCACTCCTCCCGGGCAGGCTGCCCATGCCTCTTCCTCACATCACCCACTTTACTGCCTTCAGAGTTCTTCACAGTCCCAACACGTCTTCACATGATTTATGTGCTTGTCTCCCCACATTAGAATGTTCACTCACAAGCAGGTCGCGTCTGTCTTGTTCACCCCTCTTACCCAGTGCCTAGAACACAGTCTGATACAGTCGGGCTCAGTCTATATTTGTTAAGTCTATATTTGACCCCTCCCCATCAGGCCGCCCGCTTCATGCCAGGCTTGCCTCTCCAGCCCTGTGCCCGCCTGTGGCCACAGCAGTGTGCTATGTTTCTGTTCATTCATTATCCAGCTCAGCATCCTTGTCCTGCCTCCCATCCTGAGCAAGAGTCCCTGGGAGCAGGGCTCCACCACTGCCTGTGGGGAGGCCCCTTGTCTTAACTGTGCAATGCTGCACAAATAACGAGATGCCCTGGGAATGCTGTTCAGCCCTGTCTTCCAACTATTTGAGGAAGTGACTTTTCTACTATCTGGAGAATTCCAAAAATGCACTGGGATGGCTGCAGCCGCCCAGCTCTGGGCTCCAGGGGGGGCAGCGTCTTACAGGTCCAGATGGTCCCAAGTGAAGTTGGGGCACCAGCACCTTACGTGGGACTCACTTGTATGTCTGTTTCCCCCGCAGCACTGTGCTGCTTCACAATTGAGGGAACCGGGGCGGAAGGAGGATGCTGGAGCACTGGGGTCAGAACCAGGCTTTGGCGTCTGAGTCATGGATTTGCCACTTCCTCAGCCATGTGACCTTTGCAGAATTTCTCTTCCCTAAGCCTCCCTCACAGGATGTTTGTGATGCTAAAGTCAGCAAAGCACACGCAGGCACAGCATAATGCCCGGCACGTAGTGAGTGCTCTGTAAGGTCAGCAGCTGTCATCATCACTTAATACTGACCAGCATGAGATGGCCAAGCCAGCGGCGGCAGAGCTGGAACTTGAACCAAGGTCTTGGCATCTTCCCTCCGCAGTGGCCTCTGCTTGCGGCAACTCTGCCCTCCTCTGAGAAGGGTAACTGGGAGCCTAAACAGCTATGTCATACTTGAAGTTCCATCCACAAAGCTTCAGCTGGGACAAGCCCTACCCTCCTTTAAAAAGCAAGGTCCCGGGCCAGGCGCAGTGGCTCACACCCATAACCCCAGAACTTTGGGAGGCCGAGGTGGGTGGATCACTTGAGCCCAGGAGTTCAAGACCAGCCTGGGCAACATGGTGAGACCCTGTCTCTACAAAAAATACAAAAATTACCTGGGTGTGATGGCACACGCCTGTGGTCCCGGCTACTCAGGAGGCTGAGGTGGGAGGATCACTTGAGCCGGGGAGGTTGAGGCTGCAGTGAGCCGTGATTTCGCCACTGCACTCCAGCCTGGGCAACAGAGTGAGACTTTGTCTCAAAACAAACAAAAACTAAGGTCTCAAAAATTAGGGAAGGTGAGTGGGACCAAGGGCATTTCATTAAGCTATAGTCATCTGAGTTCAAATATTTAGTGACTTTCCAGGGGAAAGGGACATAGGAGTACTGAAAGCAAACTCTCCTGACAGCAGTTACGCGAGAGGCAGACAGCACCGTCCAGGAAACAGACGTGATTTCAGGGACTGAATTCAGAAACTCAAAGGCCACAGGAGAATTGGTGCCTGCATCATAGGGACGGGGAGCACCCATCACCCCTGCAGTGGACTTTTAAGCTTCAGCATGGAGTTCCCTCCCCCAGCAGAGCTTGTCCACCTGTCCAAGAGACAGCTCTCTTTAAAATCACCCCCGCCCCCACACCAATCACTGACAAGCTCTATTCCTGCTCACAGGATGTACACGCCTTAAGCTACTAATCTTCAGAAATAAAGCTGTTCCAGAACAAAAGAACATTTGTTTTCAGAATTGCATCTCTTAGCCACAAAGAAAGGCAGCTTTAGATCTAACCTAGATGTGAAACGACAGCCCTGCATCAGAACCACCGCCAGGGGCTCCGGCAGTTCCCACTTCCTGTCTGCAAGATCCTGGCCAAGTTGCTTCACTTCTCTGAAGCTGTTTCCTCATCTCTAAAGCGGGGGCTCACAGAGTTGTGAGCCAGGCACAGTGGCTCATGCCTGTAATCCCAGCACTTTGGGAGGCCAAGGCAGGTGGATTGCTTGAGCTCAGGAGTTGAGACCAGCCTGGGCCAATACAACGAAACACTGTCTCAATAAAAAACACACAGAACTAGCCAGGCCTGGTGGCACATGCAGGTAGTCCCAGCTACTCAGGAGGCTGAGGTGGGAGGATTGCTCAAGTCCCGGGAGGTGGCGCTGCAGTGAGCTGAGATTGCACCACTGCTCTCCAGCCTGGGTGACAGAGTAAGACCCTGCCTCAATAAACAAAGAAATTATAGGGCCAAGAGGTCTGAGTCACAGGTTACAAAGAGAAAACAAAAAAACAAAGAGGTTGCAGTGAGCTGAGATCACGCCACTGCACCCCAGCCTGGGTGACGGAGGGAGATGCTGTCTTAAAATTAGGGTTTTGAAAATTCATGAGGCCTGATACTTTGAGTATTATAGAGGCTCAAGCCATAAAATGCAATGTTGATTATTACTATTTTGATTATTGCTGTTCGGCTTTGAGGAGGAAGTGTTTGTAGAAAAAAAAGGTGTCTGGACCCAACAGGAATATGTTGCTAGGCTAGGCAAAGGTTGCTGGGCTATTTATGAGGCTGGTTTATCAGCTGTGCTGGGGTAACTGCACTCAAACCTGGGGCCACTGATAACCCACTGATGAGTGAACAGCAGTCAACCAAGTGCTGCCTCATCTGGCTCTAGAAAATGCTCCAAGCACACTCTCGCAAATGCTAGACAATGTGATTTAATCATTTCACAGAGGCTTGGGAGATTTTTTTTTCCCCTCCTCGGAATTTCTGGGCTCCACCCCAGAGCCTGGTCTGGAAGGCATTGAGGACCTTGTTTCTGTAGTCCTCTGGTGGTTCTGATGATGCTGACCCTCTGGCTGAACTTGTAGAAACACTAGGCATGGCTCCAGGTTGGAGATTAGTGCTGGACAGATGCAGCTGCTCTGTCCTCCTGGTGGATTCGGCCCAATAGCTGGGGCCTCTTTGGACAACAGCTGTAGCTACCGGCATGGGGTGGAACGCCCTGGGTAGAGGTCTTCTCTGAGGTCTCCGGATTTATAATTACTTGTATTGGCGAATCCCACAAAGGCTGGTGGGTAGGGCATTGATTTTCCCTCTGAGGTTGGGGGATGGTGATGGGGATGGGGGTTGGGAAGGGAGAGATTCCAACAGGTGGTCACCTCCCCAGATGAAATTCTTCATCTCATGGCTTAAGAGACTGATTGTTTTTAAAAATATATAGATAGGGTCTCACTATGTTGCCCAGGCTGGTCTCCAACTCCTAGGCTCAAGCAATCCTTTGTCCTCAGCCTCCCAAAGTGTTGAATTACAGGCATGAGCCACTAAGCCCGGCTGAGACTGACTGATTTTAATGACAAATAAACAAAATCACAGCATGTTAGTATGAAAGAGAATCTTGCAAATACTTCTGTTTAACTCTATAATTAGGAAAACTGAGGTAGAGTGACATGGGGTCTTACCCAAGGTCACACTATTACTGGGCTGATAGCATAGAGAAAGTGCACACGTGCTTCTCTGAACAGAGGCAGCACTTGTTAAGCCGTGGGCTGGCACAGCCATGCACACCCAGCAGGCACCATACCCAAAGAAGAGTCTGGGGAGGCGTCCCAGGACGAAGCCATTTGCACTGTCACTCACTCAGACCCAGCCCTCACCCTGGACCAACCTTGCCCTAGGAACATTCTCTGCTAGGCGTTGGCGAGAGGTTTGGAGATAAACCCAGCCCCTTTCCTTAACACCGTTCTCCAAGGAAACACTGAACACTTTCTTTGTACAAAAAAATTATGTCCCTAAAGCCCCAGGAAGCATTATTCTGGGCAAGCCAGCTTCCTGGGTATGCAACCGGTGCAGTCACGTGGGGCCTTCTGCTTAGTAGGGTCTCTTGCTTTGTCTAATGCTCTGCTGCCACCATCTTGACATCCTGTTTTATTTTTCTCTAATGCCTTGTTTAAGTCACACAAGAAAATGTTGCAAGTGACAGTTCAACCCAATTGACTACACTATAAATTATATCACTATCGGCGGCCAGGCACAGTGGCTCACACCTATAATCCCAGCACTCTGGGAGGCGGAGGCGGGTGGATCACCTGAAGTCAGCAGTTCGAGACCAGCCTGGCCAACATAGTGAAACCCCAACTCTACTAAAAATACAAAAAATTAGCCAAGCAATGTGGCAGTACTTGGGAAGCTGAGGCAGGAGGATCACTTGAACCCAGGAGGTAGAGGTTGCAGTGCCCAGAGATTGCACCACTGCACTCCAGCCTGGGCGACAGAGTAAGACTGTCTCAAAAAAAAAAAATAAAGTTATATCACTATCTGAGAAATAAATACAATCATTCTTCTTCTTCTTCCTCTTATTCTTCTTTTTTAAAAAAGCGTACACTAGCACTGGGGGCATTGGGGCATGAGGAATGCTGAGTCCCAGGGGCAGACTGACAGTGGTCTGTTTCTGGTCTGTTGCTAGACTCATCTGCTGAGAAGGGGTTGCACATTGCATAGGATATTAGAAATCATGAAGATTTCTACATGTTCTACCGTCTACTGGCACGTAGGAAGTGACTGGGAAGAACAGAAACTTTGTAAGTCAGAACCATTTGCTACCGTCTGAATATTCATGTCCCGGAAATTCACACGTTGAAATCCATATCCCCAGGGTGGCAGTTTTAGGAGGTGGGGCCTTTAGGAGATGATGAGGTCATGAGGATGGAGCCCAACTCTGAATTTACCATGCTTTGATCTAGGGACTTCCGGGCCTCTAGGACTGTGAGAAATAAATTTCTGTTGCTGACAAGCCCAGTCTATGGTATTTCTTTTTTTTTTTTTTTTTTGTAGATGGAGTTTCGCTCTTGTTACCCAGGCTGGAGTGCAATGGCACGATCTCAGCTCACTGCAACCTCCGCCTCCCGGGTTCAGGCAATTCACCTGCCTCAGCCTCCTGAGTAGCTGGGATTACAGACGCGCGCCACCATGCCCAGCTAATTTTTTGTATTTTTTTTTTTTTTTTTTTGAGACGGAGTTTCACTCTTGTTACCTAGGCTGGAGTGCAATGGCGCGATCTCGGCTCACCGCAACCTCCGCCTCCTGGGTTCAGGCAATTCTCCTGCCTCAGCCTCCTGAGTAGCTGGGATTACAGGCACACACCACCATGCCCAGCTAATTTTTTGTATTTTTAGTAGAGACGGGGTTCCACCATGTTGACCAGGATGGTCTCGATCTCTTGACCTGGTGATCCACCCGCCTCGGCCTCCCAAAGTGCTGGGATTACAGGCTTGAGCCACCGCGCCCGGCCAATTTTTTGTATTTTTAGTAGAGACAGGGTTTCACCATGTTGACCAGGATGGTCTCGATCTCTTGACCTTGTGATCCACCCGCCTCGGCCTCCCAAAGGGCTGGGATTACAGGTGTGAGCCACCGCGCCCGGCCCAGTCTATGGTATTTTGCTGTAGCAGCCCAAATGTTCTAAGACATGATTCCTGAACACTGCTTGAGTGTATGGAATTACCGTTTTAGTATTATCCAAGCATGTTTCTAGCTCTGTCACTGAGGCTGCAGTGCAGTGTCATGATCTCAGCTCACTGCAACCTCTGCCTCCCTGGTTCAAGCAATTCTCCTGTCTCAGCCTCCCAAGTAGCTGAGATTACAGGTGTGCACCACCACACCTGGCTAATTTTTTGTATTTTTAGTAGAGACAGCGTTTCACCACGTTGGCCAGGCTGGTCTCAAACTCCTGATCTCAAGTGATCCACCCACCTCGGCCTCCCAAACTGCTGGGGTTACAGGTGCCAGCCATGGCTGCCAGCCCATGGTTATGTTTCTAATCGCCTAAACCACTCTCCTGGTGACCAAATTCCACTAACTGGTAGAAGCAAACATTTAACCTCTACCCTGTCGATGAAGAGTAACTGGTATTGGTGCCTTTTGAAGCCTCCTGGGCATCTTTTTTTCACATGAGAGTTTTTAATCTTCTTGTAAAATATCCACAATGGCCGCAGATCACATCGTCGCCGCCCCTTTCCTCCAGCAGCAGCAGTGGCCTTCATGGTCCCCTAACTTCCTTCACTCTGTTCCCGTGTTCCTTTCATTGCTTTCTTGAGGTCTTTTTCTTCTCTTACAGGCCACTTCTTGCAAGTCTATGTTTGGGTTCATTTTTCTTTCCATGATCCAAGGAATCATCAATCACACCAAACTAGCTGTCTTGCTCTTGCTACCACCAAAATTAAATCCAAATGCAAAGATGATCTCCAGCGTGGTCTTGTACATTTTGGCTGGTTTGTCCTAAATTTCTATCTTAGGTACTGTTGCCTTCCCAAGGTGAAGGACATCGATGGCCATTTCTTTCCTCTGAAGTAGTCAGTTGGTCATGACCTTCCTAGTTTGGATAACTACTGAGTCATTCATGATGGCGGTCAATCTTCAGGCAGCCAGAGAGGAAAAACCCTTATGGGCATCTTAAAATGAACTGGAGGTCCAGAAACCTCCAGGTCAGGTCTCCAAACTGTTTGCTTAGCTTCTAGCCTTTGGTGAGACCTAGGAGGATGCATATCCTCAGGCTTTATCTACTTATTTGCTAGAAGCCATTGACCTTTTTTTTTTTTTTTTTTTTAAGACAAGAGTCTCACTCTGTTGCCCAGGCTGCAGTGCAGTGGCACGATCTTGGCTCTGCAACCTCCACCTCCTGGGTTCAAGCGATTCTCCTGCCTCAGCCTCCTGAGTAGCTGGGATTCAGGTGACTGCCACCACACCTGGCTAATTTTTGTACTTGTAGTAGAGACAGGGTTTCACCATGTTGGTCAGTCTGGTCTTGAACTCCTGACCTCGTGATCCACCTGCCTCAGCCTCCCAAAGTGCTGAGATTACAGACGTGAGCCACTGTGCCCGGCCAGCCATTGGCCATTTTCAGTCTGAACCCATTTGCCATTTTGATTTTCTCAAAGAGGCACTTACACTACCTAAAAGAAACATTGCTGGTGCTCTCCTGAGAGAGAGTACTGCAGACACAGCAGTCAGGGATGTATGCAACTTTTACAGCACTCAAGCAACAGAGGTAGTGGAAAAATAAGTTTGAGTTGCTTTTATCACCCTCAGTGGACGACTTGTTCTGAGGTCTCTTCTCATGAATCCAACATCCTTAGATCCTGGCATCTGCAGTCCAGGTCAGATGTGACAAGTCTGGGAACGGGCTGTACCGCCAGAGCTGAGGGAGCCCCTATCTGAGCACATCTTTCTAGAACAGTGTGCGGTGCTAGGTTTGGGGACCTTCTTGCCAGAGCTTCTTGCAAGTTTGATGAAGCATTTGTGGTTGCTCTCCAAGGCAGGGTGCATTTTGCAGATTTATGGAAACATTCAAACATGTGAACATTGAAAAATGATACTCTGAAGTTTCAGGCCCATATCATCATCTTTCTACATCAATGATCAACCGATGATCAGTTTTGCTGAACCTCTGCCCTCTCCTCCTTTCCACCACCATGAGATTTTTATTAAAACAAATTCCATACAGACTATGTGAGAATGTAAGGGAGATTACTTTGAAAGAAAAGACCTTGACCTTCTTAATATTTTCTGAGCAAGGAGCCACACATTTTTGTTTTGTTCTAGGCCTTGCAAATTGTGCAGTTGGTCCTGGCTTCAGGTTATGAACAAGCAGGTCCCATGGACGTTGTGGCTGTCCTGCAGAACCTGGCATCTGCAGTCCAGGTCAGATGGTAATAGATCTGGGAGTGAGTTCCACCACCCATCACCAGAGCTGAGGGATCCCTTCTGTCTGATTCCCAGGCGGTTGGCCCTCAGGAAATGTACAAGAGGCCAGTTACTTGCCTTGGCAAAGACCCCTTATCCCCTGAGCTGAGGGCTTGGCTGATCATGTTCTTCTTACAGGCTTCAGAAAGAGCAGAGCCACCCTGAGACCCTCGCTGCATAACTGTCACCTTCCATCCCACCTTCTGCTTGCTCAGCCCTGGCTGACACACCCCAGGGGTGGCTCAGAACTGGACATGGGTCCAGTAGGAACAGCCAGGGCCGGGGCAGGCCTCTGTTACTGTTGCTCAGGCTTGGAACCAACATCAGTTGGGAATGGCTGATGGCCAAAGAGGGCCAAGTGATTCCTAAACAACCAGGAATCGATGTCCTTCTGGAAACAGCTGGGTTCCCTTTTTGCCAAGTGCAATTTGGTAGGAAAAGGCAGCCACCAGGATAAAGCAATGACAAGGGGAGGTCAATGGTGTCTGGGACACGTGAGGCCCTCAGCTTCTGCCAGCTGGAGCTCAGGTATGTGGCAGACTCGGGCCCAGCCACGTGCTGAGAATCACCAGGGCTATGTTTATGGGAGTTTTGGTCCTTCTGCTTCCCAGGGAAAGGCTCCGGTCGTCTGTGGTGCCCCCACTGAGCCCCTTCCCAGAGCTGAGACACCTGACCCCAGACAGGCTGGTCCTCCCACCAGCCAGGAACTACTTACATGACGATGAGAGCAGCATCTCTGGAGTAATCCAGCAGAATCTCATTCAGCCTCACCTGCCGAAGGGACTGGGCAGGAGAAAGCCGAGTGGTCACTTCCCATATCCTCAAGAGCACTTGACCCCTCACCACATCCACGGCCTCGTTAACATTTTCAACTGGATTCATAAATTACTCCCTTAAATTCTTATTGACTCTCCTGCCTCCAGGAAGAAGGGGACCCTTGGAGTAATGGAGCACCAAGCTCACCTCCTCCAAGAAGCCTTCCATGATTTTTCCTTGTCTGACTTTATGACCATAACCACTGGGGTAGAAGGAAGAGAGAACACCTTACTAGGTTCAGACCTCAGCTCGCATATTTCATAGCAGAGAGAACTTGAGCAAGTCATGTCGCCTCCCTGACCTTCACTGTCTTCATCTGTAAAATGGGTATGATGATACCTTCTCCAGGTGAATTTGGAGAGTTTCAAATGAGACAACCTACGCAAAAGCACCCAGGAGATGGCCTGGTACATGAAAAATACTCTAGAAAAGACAGGGGAACTAGGAGCAGGGACAGGTCACCCCACTTCTTCTGTAACAGAGTATTGGAGGGTCTCCTTTGGCCACAAGGTTTTATTCATCATTTTCCAAAGACCCCAATGGCTGCATGAGCCCTTTGGGGCAAGGTCTAGGGCTGACAGATTAGGGAAGTCCCCAAAGCTTGTGTGGGACTGGGTTGGGGGTCACCTCCTGCCCTTCCAGAGCTCACCCCACCTTGACACGGCCACGGGTACAGGCACACTTTACCTTAGCCCTTAGAGTCCTGAAGTACTGTCAGGAAGGGGCACCATGGCCCTGAGCTGTGTCAGGGCAAGGTCTAGAGGCTAAGGGGGGAAGGTCAGGCCGCTGTGTCCCACAGGACGGAGTCTTGCTCTGTCGCCCAGGCTGGAGTGCTCTGGTGTGATCTCGGCTCACTGCAACCTCCCCGTCCTGGGTTCAACCAATTCTCCTGCCTCAGCCTCCTGAGGAGCTGGGATTACAGGTGATCACCACCAAGCCCAGCTAATTTTTTTTGTTTTGTTTTGTATTTTTAGTAGAGACAGGGTTTTACCCTGTTGGTCAAGCTGGTCTTGAGCTCCTGACCTCAAGTGATCCACCTGCCTCAGCCTCACAGAGTCCTGGGATTACAGGGGTGAGCCATCACGCCCAGCCTAACAGGACAAACTATACTTTGGCCATCACCATAAGTCTCAGGAATCTCTTCCACCCAGCGTAGAGGAAGTGGGGAGGAGAAGGAGGAGGACTCAGGGCAGTCCATGCCCATTGCCGGGACTCACTCAAGACGGGAAGGAGGACCAGGCTCCCACACAAGGGATAGCACTGAGTTCCACAGCTGGGTAGCCCATCAGCCTGAGTGACTGTGGCGTGAGGATAGCTCGGGGGCCGGAGTGGAAGGCAGGGTGGAGGATCAAGGGGAGGGGCTGGGGAGCTCAGGACATGCAGGACGCCTGTCCCTGACCCAATGATGTGTCGTGTTTCCCACCCCCACCCACCCCGGCAAGGCCGCCCCTCTCCTGCACCTTGACTCTGTTCTTCGTAATCTCCTCATCTGAGATCTTCCAGGGGCAGTCCCGCCGCATCTCGTTGACAGTGGCCTCGTCCTTGAAGCCATCATTCAGGCGGAAGGGTGCAATCATGTCCTCAAACCTCTTGGTGCTGGGGATGAGAGAGTGTGTGAGGCTGGCTGAGATGATGTGGGGAGTAGAAAAGTTTTGCTTTAAAGTTTTCTTTCTTGTTAAAGAGTAAATTGTAAGTGTGCTGATAACTTTAAGCCCTGTGCTATGTAGCTGTTTAACATGCCATGCTTACAGGCACGTAGTACATTCTATGCCCTTATACTTTAACCAAGTTATCTGTGCTGGATGTGCTCACAGGCATGTCCCAGCTCTCCATTGCTTCTACCTAGTTGGAAAAGTTTTAAGTTATTAGCCAATCAGGTTGTAGTTTAGATTGTGAGGTCTGGCTCCAGCCAATGGGGATCAGACACAGCAGTAAGGACAATCCCAAATGGCTAAGAAATAAACTTGTATGTATTCCGGTGTGGTGGTGGGCACCTATAATCCCAGCTACTTGGGAGGCTGAGGCAGGAGAATCACTTGAACCTGGGAGGTGGAGGTTGCAGTGCGCCGAGATCACACCACAGCACTCCAGTCTGGGTGGCAGAGCAAGATTCTGTCTCAAAAATAAATAAATAAATAAAAATCAGATGGTAGATGAGGTCTGTATGTTGCTCCTGCTGTCCCTTCTGCCTGGAAGATCTCCCCCGTCTCTTTTTGATCATCAAGGCCCTTCTCAAGGCTTTGCTTTTCCACCAACAGAGACAGCCCTACTCTCCTTGGCATCCTGGTCTGTCTCTGCAGCATTGCGACTGCCTTGGCTTCCGCCAGCCTGCCGCTATGCTTGGAGGACTGGCCTGCAGATTTCTCATCTCTGCCTCTGCAGCACCAAGCACAGCTCCTAACAAATGGTTGGCGCCAGTGCATCCATCACTATTACATGGCTCCTTTCTGCTTATCTTGATTTCCTTCCCTGTCCAGGTGGGGGACATCCTTACAGCTGGGAAATGTAAGAGAAAAGTTAGGGCTAGGAGGTCAGGAGGAAACATAATTAGTGAGGAGAGTGTCCTGGAAAACCTCATGCACACTGATTGACAGAATGCAAATCCCATTTGTAAATGTCTTATTTTAAGAAGACGAAGTCACACCATTTGAAAGCAAGCAATCCCTGCTGAACGTACCATTGGTCATTGCTACAAATTCACAGAAGAGTTTGCTTCAAAATCTGCGCTCTTGCCCTCAGATGGAAGGAGGAAGGAAGCTGTTGCCCAGGTCACTCACCTTTTCCCCACTCCCAGCACCGATGTGTTAACACAACCATCAGGGGCTGCAGCCGCCTTGCCCAGTGACACCCTCAGCCCCAGGGAGGAGACATGTCCCGGCCACAACCACTGCAGAAGTTGTGCCCTCTGACACATCTAGGAAGGACTCGGGGGAGAGCCCTTTGCTCTTAGCTTACCAAAGTGAAAGGGGGCAGCCAGCAGAGGGGTCTGCAGGCACACAACTGGCCATTCTGCCTGGAAGCCCCAACACAGAACTTACTGCTCAGCCCGAGGGTTCTGGTTGATGTCAGGGAGGATGTGGACTTCATGGAATCCCAGTCGGAACTTGCTCAGCAGAGAAATCATCCTGCAGGAAACATGGAGAGGTTTATTATTATTATTTTGAGACAGAGTCTTGCTCTGTCTCTCAGGCTGGAATGCAGTGGTGCAATCTCAGCTCTTGTGCCCCAGCCTCCCAAGTAGCTGGGATTACAGGTGTGTACCACCATGCTTGGCTAATTTTTGTATTGTTAGTAGAGACAGGGTTTGGTCATGTTGGTCTCAGGTGATCCTCCTGCCTCAGCCTCCCGAAGTTCAGGGATTATAGGTGGGAGCCACCAGGCCCAGCCTGAGAGGTTTAAAATGTATTTATTCATTTAACTAATTTTTACCAAGCACCTACTGACTATGTAGCAGTGAGGAAAACAGAAAGCCTGCCCTCATAGAACACGGGGGTAGGGGCAGACAGGAAACTCATAAAATGGGTTAGATGATGAGAAGTGAAACAGAAAAGTAATTGACAAGATTTTCCCAAGTATCTGGTGGCCACCTCTGTACTAGCGCACCCCAAATTTTCACATTTCTATGCATCTGCTGAGGATCTTGTTACCATGCTGATTCTGATTCGGCTGGTCTGGAGTGGGGCCTGGGACTCTGCATGTCTAACACACTCCCACGAGACGCAGTGCTGCTGGACCACAGACAACACTTTGAGTAGGAAAGTTCTAAGGAACAGGAGAGTTGAATAAAGGAAATTCTGGAGTGGCTGAGGAAGCAAAGATAACACACAAGAAACTTGGTACAGAACCAGGAGTAGCAAGCCAGGCAGTACTGACTTTGCATCTAACAGGGAAGGTCAATGGGGAGGATTGACCTGTGGTTTGTAGCAGTCAGGGAAGACTTCACAGAGGTGGCAGTCTGGCTGGATGGTGAATGAAAGGTAAGATTGTTACAGGCCAGAGCAGGTGGGGCAGGGGAATGTCTACACTGAAATCACCCAAGGAGCCTTCAAAACAATATGCCTGCTGGGCGTGGTGGCTCAGGCCTATAATCCCAGCACTTTGGGAGGCCAAGGTGGACAGATCGCCTAAGGTCAGGAGTTCAAGACCAGCCTGGCCAACATGACAAAACCCCATCTCTACTAGAAATACAAAAATTAGCCGGACATGGTGGCATGCATCTATAATTCCAGCTACTTGGGAGGCTGTGGTAGAATTGCCTGAACTCAGGAGGCGGAGGTTACAGTGAGCTGAGATCGTGCTATTGCACTCCCGCCTGGGCGACAGAGCAGGATTCTGTCTCAAAACAAACAAACAAAAAACAATACACCTGCCTGGGCCTTCCCCCCACCCCCTTGCCCACCATTAAGTCAGAACCCCTGGGAGGGACCTGATTTGGGTAATGCCTCAGGTGATTCTGATGTGCCAGCCTGGTTAGGGACCACGGGACTGATTGGTAGGGAACAGTTAAAATGAGGGAAGGTGTCGGGGTGCAGGGGGTGGAGCAGGGCAGTGAGGAGCTGGCTGGGATGCATGGAGTGTGCTAGGAGAGGGGAAGAAATAAGAGGCAAGCCTGGAGGACGAGGCTGGGGCCGAGCAGTCAAGCCGCTGCTGGCCCCTGACCATGGGAAGTGAAATTTTGAAAGCAGAGCTGTGGGCAGATTCAAATGGTGTGCGGTGACAGTGGGGGCTGGCAGACCTGGCCAGTGCCTAGGTAAGGACAGACCTGCTCCCGGGTTATGTAGAGAGCAAAGGATGTGGCCCATCAAGGGACAGAGGGAGGCAGAGGAAGGGTTTTCATAACCTTCCCACCAAGGACATGCCGTTAGCCCAGGCTGCCATAGCCTTGAGCTAAACCAAATCTGCTAAAGTCAGCTTCCATTCAGAGCCCGGACAGGAAGCAGAGACAGCACAGCAGTCTCATGGCTTATTTACTTTTTGGAGATCACAGAGAAGTCAAATGCTGCTTTTCCCAAGCCACAGTTTCCTTAGCATTGCTGAAAAGGGGTTTTCAGGGAAGAAATTCTTAGTGGGGTGAGGACAAAGAGATGGGATTTATGGGTTTCTCTTAACTCATACTGTGGATGGCTAGAGAATGGGGCATGGGAGGCCATCCTGGCATAGGACTGGGTGGTGTAGGCCAGGTTACCCCTCCTACCGCGACCCTGGGGCATCACAGCCAGGATGGTTGTAAAGGGCATTAGAGACCAAGCAGGGGTTCTTCTCTTCAGCTAATTAGTTGCATGACTTTGGGCAAATTGCCCCATCTGTTGGTACCCTTCAGCAGACCTCCAGCCTGTCACCTCCCACCTCACCTGACCTTGCTCAAAGCAGCAGCTGCCCAGTTCCACCTGCCGACACCTGCCAGCTCCACACCTGTGTGCCACCTGCCTTACTAGTTACTTCCTTTTCTGTTTAAATCAACTCACATTCTGACTTAGTTACATTTCTTTCTTTATTTTATTTATTTATTTATTTTTGAGATGGAGTTTTCCTCTGTCGCCCAGGCTGGACTGCAGTGGCACAATCTCGGCTCACTGCAACCTCTGCCTCCCAGGTTCAAGTAATTCTCCTGTCTCAGCCTCCCCAGTAGCTGGGACTGCAGGCACACACGACCACACCCAGCTAATTTTTGCATTTTTAGTAAAGACGGAGTTTCACCATATTGGTCAGGCTGGTTTTGAACACCTGACATCAGGTGATCCACCCACCTCCGCCTCCCAAAGTGCTGAGATTACAGGCATGAGCCACCAGCCTGGCCCAAACTGAGATACATTTCAAAGGCAGATTTTATGTCATGATTTTATTTATTTGTTCAGATTTTACTTTATTTTTATTACTATTAAAAAACAGAGACAAGATCTGTTCTATCACCATGGCTAGAGTGCAGTGGTGCAATCATAGCTCACTGCAGCCTTGATCTGGGCCAAGTGATCCTCCTGCCTCAGCCTCAAGTAAGCTAAGACTATAAGCACATGCCACCATTCACAGTTAATTTTTTATCCTTTTTACTTTTTGGTAGAGACAGGCTGTCACTATGTTGCCCAGTCTGGTCTCAAACTCCTGGCCTCAAGCCATCTCCTGCCTTGGCCTGCTGTCAAAGTGCCAGGATTTATAGGCAGAGCCACTGCACCCAGCCAATGCCACAATTTTAAACAGAAAACCGGCACCTCTTGCCAGGAAGACGTAACCAATAAAACCCATGTAGATGAACCAGGGTCACTGTTCTGGCCAGATGCCACTGCCTGCCAAGCCCATGCAACCAGCCTGCTCCTCTTGCTCAGGGAGCCAAGCACAGGCTACCAAACAGAAGGACAGGCCAGGGCTACGCCAGGACCTTCTGCAAAATCAGCCCCAGAATTGGAGGAGAATTAAAAGCCACTTCTTATCAAAAGACTCAGTGGTATTTGCTGCCTCATCCCCTGGCCACTAAAGTCACCTCTTGTCTCTCCAGAACCTGCATCCCATGCGTTAGGAACATTGCCTTAAAGCAAGGGCCCCTGATTCCCGGGCTGCTGACAGGTACCAGCCATGGCCTATTAGCAACTGGGCGCATGGCAGTGAACAAAGCTTCATCTGTATTTACAGCTGCTCCCCACTGCTTGCATTACCACCTGAGCTCTGACTACTGTCAGCTCATCAGTGACGTTAGACTCTTAGAGGGCCATGAACTCTCTTGTAGGATCTAGGCTATGTGCACTCATGATGAGAATCTAATGCCTAATGATCTGTCACTGTCTCCCATCACCTCTGGATGGGACCATCCCGTGGCAGGAAAACAAGCTCAGGTCTCCCACTGACTCTACATGACGGTGAGCTGTATAACTATTTTATTATATATTACCATGTAATCATAATAGAAATAAAGTGCACAATAACGTAACGAGCTTGAATCATCCCCAAACCACTACTCTTTCCCCAGCCTGTAGAAAAACCGTCTTCCAGGCCGGGCGCGGTGGCTCACGCCTGTAATCCCAGCACTTTGGGAGGCTGAGGCGGGTGGATCACAAGGTCAAGAGATCAAGACCATCCTGGTCAACATGGTGAAACCCCATCTCTACTAAAACTACAAAAAATTAGCTGGGCATGGTGGCGCGTGCCTGTAGTCCCAGCTACTCAGGAGGCTGAGGCAGGAGAATTGCCTGAACCCAGGAGGCGGAGGTTGCGGTGAGCCGAGATCGTGCCATTGCACTCCAGCCTGGGTAACAAGAGCGAAACTCCGTCTCAAAAAAAAAGAAAAACCGTTTTCCACGAAACCTGTCCCTGGTGCCAAAAAGGTTGGGGACCGCTGTGCTAAAGGATTCCAGCTCCTACTTCATTTCTCCATCCTTCATTTCCTTTTTTCAAAACATTATATATATTTAAATTTTTTAATATATGTAAAATATTTATATAAAAATTTAAAATATTGGCTGGGCATGGAGGCTCACGCCTGTCATCCCAGCACTTTGGGAGGCTGAGGTGAGGGGATCACTTGAGGTTAGGAGCTCGAGATCAGCCTAGCCAACACGGCGAAACTCCAACTCTACTAAAAATACAAAAAAATTTATCTGGGCATAATAGCACGTGCCTCTAATCCCAGCCACTAGGGAGGCTGAGGAAGGAGAATTGCTTGAACCCAGGCGCGGAGGTTGCAGTGAGCTGAGATTTCGCCACTGTAGTCCAGTCTGGGCGACAGAGGGAGACCCCATCTCAAACAAAAACAAAAACAAAAACGAAACTTAAAATATGCAGACAGAGTTTTGCCATGTCACCCAGGCTGGTCTCGAACTCCAGGACTCTTGGATCCACCCGCCTTGGCCTCCCAAAGTGCTAGGATGACAGACGTGAGCCACTGTGCCCAGCCCGTCCCCCATTTCATACAGGTTCCTCCTGGAGGAGATTTACTTTTTGTTCTTTTTTATCTTTTTTTGTTTTCAATTTTTCTTGTCTTTTTTTTTAACTTTAAATCTAAAAGATAGATCCGTTTTCTTTCTTATTTTTATGTTTCTCATTGTCCAAACCCAGAGACTTATGACTTTACAACCTAACTCCCCTCCCTGTCGTCCCAAAGCCTCTGCATTTTATTGAAGGAGGCAGGAAACCAGAACAACTTCTGGAAGGGAGAGAAGCCTGCTCCTGCTCCTGCTCCTGCCCACTGCAGTGGCCTGGAGAGAACTGGTCCTGGGCTTGGGACAATCTCAGAACCTACCTAGGGGTGGTGGTAGACGATCAGGGGTGGAGGGCAGCCTTAGGTGGAGCTAAGCTGGCCGTGGTCCCTGCAGCCCCGGGGCTGGCCCTCCGTACTTACGCCCTTCTCTCCTGGTCCATCCTGTTAATCTGGCCGCCCACGAACACGCGGATCCTGCATTTGCTCCACCTCTTCTTGCGGTGGAGGAGATAGGGAATGAGGAGGGTGAGACCTGGCAAGGAGAATCCCCGAGAGTCACGACGGGAGTACACTCAGGAAAGAGCGCTCTGTGGGTTCCTGCCCCACTCTGCTATTAGCAAACCTCTTCCTCTCCTCGCCAGGCCTCAGTCAACCCATCTGTATAATGAACATGACTGACTAAACCCAAGTTGCACATGGTACTCTGCGGGGTAGGGTTTATTTGGCTTGTGCAGTGTATTTAAATAAACAAGCTAGCAGCCGGGTGCCATGGTTAATGCCTGTAATCCTAGCACTTCGGGAGGCCAAGGCAGGCAGATCACCTGAGGTCAGGAGTTCGAGACTAGCCTGGCCAACATGGTGAAACTCATCTCTACTGAAAATAGAAAAAATTAGCTGGGCTTTATGGTGTATGCCTATAGTCCCAGCTACTCGGGAGGCTGAGGCAGGAGAATGGCTTGAACCCAGGAGGCGGAGGTTGCAGTGAGCCAAGATCGTGCCATTGCACTCCAGCCTGGTGACAGAATGAGATTCTGTCTCAAAAAAAAAAAAAGCTGGCATTTAATAATTGAGCAGTTTCACATAAAACTCGAGGTCACTGGCAGTTCTTGAAGGCTGAATACTTGACCAGCGTGGGGAGCCCTCATCCCTCCCTGTCGTCTCCCCACACAAGACCGTGAACCAGCTGTCATGTGTCACCTCATAATCCTCTGTGCCTCAGTTTCCTTATGTATAGAGCGGGATTAATCGTGACAGCTCCTTCCTGGGACTACATTAGGTAGGGAATTCCATGTCAGGCAGGTAGTGAGTGCTCAGCCAATTTCAGCAGTTATCAACAGAACCCATTCCACTGGAGCAAAGACATTTCTTTCCATCCATGACTCTACCAAGGGTAGGAGCGATAAAGCTGAAAGTCACTTTCTCGTTTTTTAATGCGAGAGGATATACTTCCTCGTGAAGTGAGAAATATTCCTACAGCTTTCCTGGGCACCAGCCCACCTCCCTGTTTCTATGACCTGCCTGTGCCCCTGAGGACCATCCAGGCAGAAGCCTCCAGCTCATGGCGACTTCAGCTCTTCCCTCAGTTTCCCATTTTATAGCCGAAAAACTAGAGGCCAGACGGAGGGGTCCCTCCAGGCTCCCCTGAGCTCACTGGTGGGCCCAGGAGCCCCCGTCCCCTTTGAGAGCAGGCCAAGAAGGAGAGGGAAGGAAGACCCCCGCCCCAGGCAGAGGGGCTGATCCGAGCGGGGAACTGACCTCCGTCGTCAAAGAGCCAGTAGATGTCGATGGTCTTCTTGCCCTGCTCCGACTGGAAGATGGTGCTGGCCTGCTCCTCCAGCACCAGAGCCTTGGGGTCCACTGCAGGAGGTGGGGGCGGGTCAGAGCAGAGCCAGCTGCAGCACATCTGGGCTGGCCTGGCCCAGGGCCCCACCAACGCCCCTTCTGAGGCTGAACGCAGATTCTCTGGCAGGTGGGCCAGGACCCACGGCCCAGGACACTCAGTACTGTGATGTGCCCCTGCCCCGCTCTCAGCTTCTCTCTCCCGGAATTCTGGTGAGTACTGGGAGTGGGGACAGAGCCCTCTGGGTAGGTAGGGAAGTACACTCTCCCTTCTCTTAAACACCCTCCTGTACTCTCACAGATGCCCACAGGAGCCCTCCCGCCTGCACTGCAGGCCCCCTACCTCCCAGGGTGACCGTGGGAGAGGACGAAGGAAAATCCCGCCCCACCCTGCATGGCTAGAGGGGTCTTGGCAGGAGAGGGACAAGGGCTCCAGAGCCTGCTGGGTGGACCTCTGATGCCCTGACCCTGAATTCTCCACTCCTGGCAATCTTTTTTTTTCTGAGACAGGGTCTCACTTTGTCACCCAGGCCAGCATGTCGTGGTGCGGTCATAGCTCACTGCAGCCTGGAACTCCTGCCTCAGACTCCCACAGTGCTGGGATTACAGACACCAGCCACTGCGCCCGGCTGCTGGCAATCTTTGACACAGCCAAGGCCTTCCAGCTCCCAACCCCCGTTACTCAGGCACCACTGTCATGATAAAAAACCACCTGTCCTCCACCGAGTTCCCCAGCGGCCCGCCCCTAGCTGCCCCACAGGGCAGGAGTGCCTTGAGCTGTGAGGGGAACACTGACACATGCCAGAGACTGACGGCCTGGCATCTCTGGCACTGGCTTCCTTCCTGTCCTCCGCTGGGTCAAACACGGGGTTAACTGCAAAAGAAGGGCAGCATGGTTCATAGGCTCTCCTCGTCTGAGGGCACGGTGGGTTCCTCCTGGACAGGGCTCCCTTGATGCTAGGAAGAAAGTGCCGACACCCCACCTGGCCTCCACGAGCCCACTGCACCCGGCCCTGGCCCCCCTCTGACCTGCCTTCTGCCCGGCCCCTCACACCCCAGCTGCGCCTTGCCTCCTCCTGCCCCTCAAATAGGCCAAGTTCATCCCCACCTTGGGCTGTTCCAGCTTTTGACAGGGATGCTGAGTGGGCAGGGCATGTACTCACTGTGCGCCTGCATCATCCTGGACATGTTGAGCCCCTCCCGCATCCTCATGACACACACGCCATAGTTAAAATCAAAGGCATCGCTGGAAAGAGAGGAGGTGAGGTCCAGCTTCTCCCCCAGCTCCCACCCAGGAGATGACCTGGTACCCAGAAGACCGGGTGTCTAGAGTTGCCTCTGCCTCCTACCATACCCTTTCTGTTCTTTGGGCCTCAGTTTCCCCATCTGTATAATGTACAGGCAGAATTGGAGAGTACCCTGGAACTCTTGCAGCTCTACAGACTGTGACACTGTGGACCTACAGATCCGGTTCTCGGGGAAACCAAGTCAGCCCTGTCCTCCTGATACATTTGGATAATCCCCCACGAGTCTGCCCATGGAGGTGGGGATGGTCATTATTACCCCCATTCTACAGATGCAAAAACTGAGTTTTGGAGAGGAACCTGCCCGTGATCACACAGCTAGGAAATGAGTAGCTGGGATTAGAATCATATGGCTGACACTGGAGGCCAGAGGACAGGCATGCTCATGAGAAGAGCTTCACTCATGTACTAGGCTGTCTACAGAGATGTCTGGAGGCCAGAGGCAGTGGCTCACCCCTGTAATCCCAGCACTTTGGGAGATCAAGGTGAAAGGATCACCTGAGGTCAGGAGTTAGAGACCAGCCTGGCCAACATGGTGAAACCCCGTTTCTACTAAAAAGTACAAAAATTAGGCCGGGCACGGTGCCTCAAGCCTGTAATCCCAGCATTTTGGGAGGCCGAGGCGGGTGGATCACGAGGTCAAGAGATCGAGACCATCCTGGTCAACA